CAAGCTCACCCCCGACGTACGTAGGACAGTCAGACTTGAAAGAAGACTCGCAGAGTAGTAGAGACGGCAGGAAGCAGCAAATTTGTCGAGCTCAGTGATCAAGGCAGACTCAAAGGTAGGGTCAGTGACAAGCGTGGCTAGAACACGGGTGACAGTAAGACTAGTAGCACGAGCAAGGTCAGACTCAGGGTCGGAAATGTGAGGAAGAGAGGACGTTGGAGGAGACGGCAGGACAGGACGCTGTGCAAAAGAGGAAGGATGAAGTGCCATGGTGTGCGTGCCGTGGACAGGTGGAGGAAAAACACGGGGAGCACGAAGAGTACGAACACGCGTAGCATGATGAAACACAGGCTCTCGACGCTCGGTCGGGAGTCCGTCGACTCATTATAAGGAGAAGGAGCAGGCATTAGGGAGTCAGGCTGCACGTATGTCTGAGACGGGTTAGTCGGTGGACATAGTAGAGGAGGAATAACACCAGTGGAAGACGAAAGACTAACAACCTGGTGAAGCGCCGAGCCAGGTGGTGGCAGTGACGACTGCGGCTGGTCTAAGAAGAACGGTCGCCACTGCACAGCACGTCCAGCTGCAGTACCTCCAGCTCCAGTACTTCCAGTACCAGGACCTCCAGCACCAGCAGCTCCAACACATCCAGCTCCAGATTCTCTAGCACCGCCAGCTCCAGCACCTCCAGCTCCAGTACCTCCAACTCTAGAACCTCCAGCACCACGAGCTCTAGCACCTCCAGCTCCAGTACCTCCAGCTCCAGAACCTCCAGCTCCGCCGGCTCCAACAACTCCAGCACCTCCTGCGCGTATCTCTGCAGACAAAAAGGGGAAGAGCAAGGTATTAACTTGCATGGAGCGACATGGACCTCCCCAAGTTAACCGTGACTACCACTTCTTTCGCATTTGGGAAAAAGAAGAGGGATTCAACGTTTGATGAGTTCACAGTCGGGCGAATCCAATACGGCTAGGAAGCACCGCCATGGATTGCGGAGTCACCACCCGCACGCATCGCACTGGACAACGAAGGGTGGGTTTACGAGCAGGACCACGACATGGAACATCACCTCACTCCGCAAATCTCCAACATCGCCAAGAAAAATGACGACGTCAACAAATGGTACCTAGATAGCTGTTGCGGCCAACACATGGTCTCGTCCGACAAGTTTATCCTCAATAAAAAGGACCTCTTCAATAAAGTTAAGATCACCGTCGCCAACAATCAATCAATTTGGGTGAAAAGCCGTGGAAAAATCCAGCTCAAGTCGAAGGATACAAACTTCTACATCTACATCAGCGACGTACTCGTGGTGCCGAGTCTTCGCTTCAACCCTTTGTCAGCCGATTAGCTGATGAAGTGCGGCGTTCAACTGCAGACACACGTAGGAGAATTTCATTTAATCCACGACAACACACTTTTTGGAAAGGCAAAATGCAAAACGGAGTGTTCGTGCTCAACTTTGACTCACCTGGAAATGTCGGCCACAAGGACCGCATCATCGCCCTTGATCTGGCGGGACATCCATCGCCACCTGCTTGGACTCATTCGAAAGAGACGGATCTGGAAAGACCATAACCGGATAGGCTGTGCCACGGCCCCACCGTGCCCGTTGTCTTGACCACAAACCCTGCACACATAGGACCACAGTAGTTGAGGAAGAGGCCAGCTCAGCAGGAGGACAGGCACAAGCAACCTGGCCCTGAGTCGAAAAACCAACGGGCTGGAACATGACAGAAGGCCGGGATGGAGCAGATGTTGCCTCGACAACATGCGGAACAAGATGGGGAGCAAGGCTTGGACAGGTCACCGAAATTGAAGAAGGTTGGGTTGACACCGTAAACCTGTAAAAGAAGAACCAGAAGTTGGCGCGAGAAGAAACTGTCGTCAATATGTCTGAGCATGCAACATGATTACCTATTGTGGAGGAAGAGCCCCTTACCGAGTATGGACCTCATCTCATTGCAGTCACAACGGACGGAAGAAGCTACCTTCGCCTCAACACACGGGGAGTAGCTATCGGCAGCACCAACTTCGAAGAAGGAGAACCAGAAAATCAGCAAATCAGCGCGGCACCCGATCCACGTATCTAGAAGGACCACCGCAGCTTCCTGTGATGATCGACACCAGAACCATCGGCGATTCCGAAGAAGCATACCACGGGACAAGACTCGAGAATCTCACGCGAAAGCTGTTGAAGTCATTGTACCAGATGAACCTGCGGACGAAACCAGCGACAGTAGAGGATGTATTAGCACGAGAAAAGCGGCTATATGCGCGCACACGTGGATATCACGATGGTGTTGATATCTGGCACAAACGATTCGGACATCCTTTGGTGGAAACGCTCAAGAACCCAATCAACACAAAAGTGTTTGCGGAAGATGCGTTGCTACCACCGTATAGAAAATTGCTCAAACCCAGGAAATATCTACCTAACTCCACTATCTGCTAGACAGCCGCCTTAGCTCACGCCAACTTCGCCGAAAAGGTTATGAGTGCTGAGCGATACAAACCACTCAAGAAGGTCTACTGCGACTTCCTAGTACTTACAATAAAATACAAACCACTCAAGGGGAACAATACACAATCACCTTCATCGACACCGGCGCGCGTTTCGTTTGGGCTGCGAACGTCACCAACCGCCACCTTGCCTGTCACTACTTCTACCTCTGGCTGAAACTCGCAGAAACACAGAGTGAAGGAAAGAAGCTGAAAACCTTCCAGACGGACGGAGCACTAGAGTACACAACAGAGGAGTTCAAAACCCTCCATGCAGAGGAGGGAATCAAGAGGATGATTTTTCTTCCCTACGGCTACAAGCAGCAGGGTTTGGCGGAAAGAACCAACAGAAGCTTCGGGACTAAAATGCGAGGCCCCATGAAGAAGTCGTGTGAAGATTGTAAATTGAACAAGTAACTTCATTAGGGGAGAAACCAAGCATACATAGTTGGAAGAGAGGCTTAGAAGGGAAGGGTGAAGGCGACCATAGGTTGGGTAGACCTCACTTGGGGGAGTGAGGCAACATAGGTCAAGTAGGTTGGGTTGTCCACCCTTTGTAGAAGTGAGGCAACCCTAGGCCCACTTGGCTTGAGGTGACCTCACTTGTAGGAAGTGAGGCACCCATAAGCCAAGTGGGTTGCATTTGGGGGCTCCACCACAATTGGGTGGATTGGCACCCCAAAGTGCAAGACTACACCCAAAGTTGGGTGTAGTCCCAACCCAACTGTACACCACAATTGGTGTACAGTCACAAGTGTTGGCATGCTATACAATATATAATTCTAACACAACCCCTTAGCATGCTAACACAAGAAGAGAACAACCCCTGAATCAAGGGGTGCCCGAACGAGCGAGGCCAATGAGGCGGAGGAGAGCAGAGTGCGCAGGGCGAAGGAGGGCCTTAGTGAAGATGTCGGCCAAGTTGGCCTTGGCCGCAATCTTGCGAACGGCAATAAGGCCCTTCTGGACGAGCTCGCGAATGAAAAAGTAGCGGAGCTCGATGTGCTTGGAGCGGGCATGATAGACAGGGTCCTCAGTGAGATGGATGGTGCTGGCATTGTCGCACTAGAGAGTGGGGCACGTCTAGGGGGCGCCAAGCTCTGCAAGAAGGAAGCAGAGCCAGCGTGACTCCTAGGCGGCCATGGTGCCAGCGTAGAGCTTGGCTTTGCAGGTGGAGAGAGAGATGGCGGAGGAGCGGGTGGAGCGCCAGCAGATGAGGCCGCTGCCAAGGTTGAAGCTGTAGCCTTGGGGGGAGCGGCGGTCCGGCTGCGTGTCAGCCCAAGAGGAGTCACTGAAGCCCGAGAGAAGAGGAGGGGAAGGGCCGCCAAGGGTGAGGGCAAGGTCCTTGGTCCCTCGAAGGTAGCGGAGGACCCGCTTGGCAGCTTTCCAGTGCTCCTCAGTGTGGCGAACGGTGCCGACGAAGCGAGCGAGCAAGGACGCTGACGGGGTAGGCGAGGTCGGGGCGGGTGCACATCATCGCGTACATCAGGGACCCAACGAGCTTGGCATAGGAGAGGGGGGAGGAGGTGGGAGAGGTGGGTGGAGCGAGTTGGTGGCCGAAGGGGAGGGGGGTGGAGACGGGCTTGGTCTGCGCCATGTTGAACTTCTCCAGGACCTGGCCGATGTAGTGGGACTGGGAGAGGGTGATGGTGCGAGCAGGGTGGTTGCGCGTGATGGCCATGCCCAGGTAGTGAGTGAGGGCGCCAAGGTCTTTGCACTTGAGATGCTGCTGCAGGGACAGCTTCATCTGCTCCATGTCAGCCTTGGTGTCAGAGAGCAGGATCATGTAGTCCATATACACCAGAATGAAGAAGTGGCAGGGGGAGGAGCGGATGAAGAGGCTGGCGTCGGAGTGGGAAGAAGAGAAGCCGAGAGACCCTAAGGTGACAGCCAGATTTGCATACCACTCACGTGGTGCCTGCTTCAAGCCGTAGACAGGGCGACGCAGCTGCCAGACAGTGTTCTCAAGGAAGGCTGCGTGGAACCCGGATGGTCGCCGGAGGAAAATGCGCTTGTGCAGGTCGCCCTGCAGGAACGCATTGGAGACGTCCATGGAATCAATCTACATGTTGTCGCGCGAACCAATGTCGAGGGTTGCGCGAAGGGTGGGGGGTTTGGCGGTGGGGGCGTAGGTGGCCAAAAATCCTCCCCAAACGTCTGTGTAAAGCCCTTGGCGCAGTAGCGGGCCTTGTAGACCGGTTCCACGCTCGGCAGCTGCTTCGCCCGAAAAAAACCCACTTGCCCTCGACAGATAGGCATCGGCGAGGAGGGGGACGTCAATGAAGGAGTCGTTGCGGATAAACGCCTCACACTTCTGGAAGATTGCCGCTATCCACTTGTCCGCGTTAGGGCAGGTGATGGCCTCTTGGAAAGTGGAGGGAGTGAAGATGGTGGGGGTGGAGGTGGCGCCAAGGACGGGGAAGCCAAGAATGTCAAGAAAGAGGGTGGCAAGGAAAGGAGTGTGCTGCTGGATGGTGAGGAACTCCTCGTGAGAGTCCTCAAGGAGTTGAAGGGAAGGAGGAGGAGGAGGGGTCCCAAGGATACGATGTGTGCATGCGGGGAAGGAGGAAAGGGGAGGAGCGAGAAGTGGCACTTTGTTGCTGCTGAAGCCGCTGCTGTTGTGCTGCTGCTGCTGCTGCTGCTGCTGCTGCTGCTGCTGCTGCTGCTGCTGCGGCTGCTGCTGCTTCTGCTGCTGCTGCTGCTGCTGCTGCTGCTGCTGCTGCTGCTGCTGCTGCTGCTGCTGCTGCTGCTGCTGCTGCTGCTGCTGCTGCTGCTGCTGTTGCTGCTGCTGCTGCTGCTGCCCCTTCTGCTGCTGCTGCACTGGGTGCTGCTGCTGCTGCTGCCCCTGCTGCTGCTGCTGCTGCCCCGGCTGCTGCTGCTGCTGCCCCGGCTGCTGCTGCTGCTGCTGTTGCTGCTGCTGCTCCTGCTGCTGCCGCTGCTGCTGCGGCTGCTGCTGCTGCGGCTGCTGCTGCTGCGGCTGCTGCTGCTGCTGCTGTTGTTGCTGCTGCTGCTGCTGCTGCTGCTGCTGCTGCTGCTGCTGCTGCTGCTGCTGCTGCCCCGGCTGCTGCTGCTACTGTTGAAAAGAGGGAGACTGTTAGGAGGAGGGAGGGGAGGGAGGGGATGCAGCTGAGTGGGCAGGGGAGGCGGGTGCAGCGGGGTCGTAGCCGTCGGCAGAGGAGGAAGGCGGGAGCGGAGCGGCTACAGGTGGGAAGAGGGGCGCGGGGGGGAGGAGAGGCGGGAGGACGGTATCGGTCCAAGCGAGGGGGCGAGAGGGAGGAGGGAGAGGATCAGGGGGAGGAGTGGAGTAGTAGGGAATGGATTCGTCGAAGACGACGTCGCTGCTGCGGATGAGGCGATTGGTAGGAGGGTGGAGGAAGAGGTAGCCTGGGGAGTCGCGGTTGTGCCCAAGGTAAACGCATTCCAGGGCGCGAGGAGCAAGCTTGCCAGCGGCGCGGGAGCGGTCAGCGGGCGGAATGAGGATGAAGGTCTTGCAGCCCCAAACACGAAGGCCGGCAGCGTCAGGTTTGGCCTTGGACCAAAGCTCTGTGGGGGAGGAGGAAGGATGCTGAGGGTGGGAGCGGAGATTAAGGAGAAGGGCGGCGTGGAGGAGGGCATAGCTCCAATTGGAAGGAGGGGTGGAAGCATGAGCAATGAGGCAGCGAGCAATTTTGGTGATCTCACAAATGCGACTCTCAGCGACGCCATTTTGCTGAGGGGAGTGGGGGAGGGTGGAGGTCTGCTGAATGTCGTGGGCCGTGCAGTAAGAGGCAAGTGTGTGATTGATGAACTCACCCCCACCGTAAGACTGAAGGTGGCTGATGGGGCGTTCGAAGTGGTTGCGGCACAGCTCAGCCCAGTTGATGACCACAGCCGGAACCTGGTCTTTTGTGTGAAGAAAGAAGACGGTGGAGTACCGGCTGTGGTCGTCAACGAGGACGAGCATGTACCGGTGCCCCTGGCGGGAGCGGATGGGATAGGGGCCCTAGAGATCCATGTGCACGAGGTCAATGGGGGCGGCGGCGAAGGTGGGATGACTGTGGTGGGGTGACTGTTTGAGCTTGCCGTGGATGCATGAAGGGCATGGGGGAGAGGGGGAGGAGGGGAGGGGGTGTAAGACGGGAGGAAGGCTGCGGAGGAGGCGAGAGGTGACTGTGGTGCGAAGTGCGGTGAAGTTGGGATGGCCGAGTCTGTGGTGTAAGAGAACGGCAGGGTGCGAGAGAGTAGTGGAGGAGGGAGATGGGGTGATGGAAGGGATAGGAGGATGGTGGGGAGGGAGAGGAGGATACTTGAGGGGGAGGGGAAGGGGGGAGTAAAGGAGGGGGAGGTGGACTGGTGGAAGTACCGGCACGAGTGGTGACGTGGCAGAAAGATGGGCGAGGTGTGCGGAGTGTGTAGAGGCGAGTGCCAGGGCAAAGCGGAATGCGGAGAAGGAAGCGATCAGAGGAGGTTTGGTAGAGATCACAGTAGTTAGCAAAGCCGGGGTAAATGGCGGTAATACCAACACCTTGGAGCTCACGGTGGGAGATGAGGTTGTTGCGGAGAGTGGGGATGTAAAGACCTGTGACCTTACCGGAGGGGAAGGCAGTGCAAGGGAGGGTGGAGAGGTGTGTGCATGGGATGGAAAAACTGGAATCAGCTCCATGAACCTGAGTGGGAAGTGGTAGGGCGGTGAGAGTGCCAGCGTCTTTTAGTGCAGTTTCGGTGGCCCCACTATCAAGGTCGAAGTCCAGGGTGGGGGAAGAAGGAGGAGGAGGTGACACGGGGTACTGGAAAGAAGTTTCATTGATAGCAGAGGGATACATGGAAGCGACGGATGGTGCAACACTGACATTACCAAGGAAACCACCCGAAGTGTCGGGGACACTTGGGGGGGCAGAGGGGAGGGAACCCCAGGGGAGAGGGGGAGCAAGGGAGGCATGAGCGGCCATGGCCGCTGTGCTGAAAGTAATCGGCTGCTGCTGCCAGTGTGGCGGAAAGAACTGCTGCTGCTGCGGCGGCGGTTGGAAGAAATGCGGCGGCGGCGGCTGCTGCGGCTGGAGAAACTGCGGCTGCTGCTGTTGTTGCTGGAAGTACTAGTGCTGCTGCTGCTGCTGGTGCTGCTGAAACTGCTGCAGCTGTGAAGGTGGGGAGGGTGTAACCAGGCGGAGGTGAGCAGGAAGGAAAGATGGGAGGGTTTGAACATCCACCAGGGAGGGGCGAGGGGTGACAGTGTTCCAGCGAGGAGGGGTGCCAGTGTTACCTCGGTCAAACCAGGCGTCGTCGAGCGCCTTGAAGCACGTGCTGGGGGGATGGTTGGTTTGGCCGCAAGGGGTACCAGCATGGGGACCATGGCGGCGAACATACGTGCATGGGGGTAGAGTTCCAGGGCGACCGCCTCGAGTCACAGCACCACCAGCACTAGAAGATCCTTCAGTAGGGGTGCCACCAGCACCACCACGACCGCCACCACGGCCACCACCGCCACCACCACCACCACCACCACCACCACCACCGCCCCGACCTTCACCACCACCGCCACCAGCGCCACGACCTCCACCGCCGCCGCTGCGACCACCCTGGTTGCGCGGTTGCGTAGCATTGAGGGAGCTGGAGGAGGAGGACTGAGGGGTGGTAAGGTTGATAATGGGGGTGCCGAGCTTGACCTCCGTGTCAATGATCCACTGGACCACGTCGTCGAGGCACAGGTGAAGCAGAAAGGGGTTGAGGTGCTGAAGGAGAAGGGGGAGCGGCTTGGAGAAGGCAAGCTGTTTCTGACTTGCTTTACCGATGCTACATGGGCTTCTGAGAAGGAGGATTTCTCATCTGTGGGAGGATACATCTGCGTAGTTGGGGGAGGACCTGTTAGTTGGAGGTCCAAGAAGCAGACGGAGACGGCACTCTCCTCTGTTGAATCAGAATACATGGCAATGTTCCATGGGGTGAAGGAGGTGATTTGGCTGAGGAGGCTGTTAGAGGAGATTGGCCAGGAGCAGAAGGTTGCTACGCCGCTGTTTTGTGATAGCAAGGGGGCTCTTGGGATGGCCAGGAACGCTGTGCTTCATGGGCTGAATAAGCACATGCGTATCAAGTGGCACTGGCTGCGTAAGGAGGTGAAGAGGGGGACGGTGAATCCGATTTACATCAAGACTCACCAGCAGCCAGCAGACTTTCTCACCAAGAGGCTTGCGGATGAGCCTCATTGGCGTTGTGTGCGCATGAGTGGAATGAGCATGAACTAGCATGGAATGATGGGAATGCAGCCGGCAGGCTGAGGGGGAGTGTGTTGGGTGCAAATTCACTTTGCACGACATCCTACCGTCTGTTTGTACGAGTATGCGTGTGCGAGTGCATTTGCGTGTGAATGGTGTGTTCGTGTGTTTGTTTGCTTTCGCAATTTTCGCTTGAAGAATTTGCAGGTACTCGCGCAATGTGCGCTTCGGCACAACATTGTACCCGCTATGAACAGTGCAAGCAGAAAGGAAGAGCTCGCAAAGGAACCCAAGATGGAAGCTTTGCAGCCCGGTTCAATTTATTGCGCAGATTCAGTTCTATCCAACTTGAAATCGTGCTGTTTTGTTTGGTTGACTATAGTGTAGCAGGGCAGGCACTATAGGGGTACAATTTAGGTGAAGGTTGGATGTTGTTTGTCTGTATCTGCATGCTACAAGGCCAGGGGAAACCAGCAGAACCAGCATTTGGTTGGTTGGGCAAAGACAAAACAGGTTCTTTTTTTAGAACCTGAACCTGGTTGTTGTTTTCCCAGGTTGGAAAAACAGAACCAGAGTTTGTTTTCCAACCTTCTACCTGCTGTTTTGTCCAGCCAGGTTGGTTCTGTTGCTTGGAATTATTTGGGATCATCCCTGGTTGTTCCCAGGTTGATTCCCAAGGTCCTTGCTAGCTATAGCTATTTATTCCTTCTCTGTTTGTACCTGGATATAGTCAATTGATTCATGCGAATTCCTTCCTCGCTGGAATTTCGTTTCTACGCGGTTCGACGGCGGAATGCTACTCGAGTCAACGCTAATACGCTAGCACTCCAACGCTAGGCAAACGTTGTCCGAGCCATAACTTCGTAATGACAGAACTTTTCGCGAGGCAACTTGGCTTATTTTTAAGCTCTTGGAGAGAGCTTCGATATAGCAAATTCTCAGCTTAATCCGATCGACGGTCTGCACGGCACGCTGCACGACGTTCAAGGTACTCTTGTTATTTTGGCTAAGTCTTTCTTGACTCCTCTCTCTACAAACTCGGACCCGAGGATAGGGGCTGGTCTTGTACCAGGCACCCAGGGACCCTTGGAGGTGACCCCGAGGAGAGGTTTTAAGTTTGATTAAGTCCTAATAGCTTGAGTTTATTAGGCCCTTACACCAACAAGCTGGTATCAGAGCTGCGTTATAGTGATCCTCGTTAAAGGTAGCTATGGCGGGCAACACCTCGGCGGTAGCTGGTGAATCTTCAGGCCAAGATCGTAGCGGCAGCCAAGATTCTGGTGTTTCAGCGCCAAGGGGAGCGCGAACAAACCAGGGCTCGCTGATCAAGGAGGTGCTGAAGAACTTCACCGTCGAGAAGTTCAATGGTGAGGGCTATGATGATTGGGCCTGGAAAATGCAACTCTACTTCCGTCAGATTGGATTGCTGAAACTAATGATTGGGGAGGAGCCTAGACCGAGTGACCCCGCCCTGCAGGAAGATTGGGACGAGCGCGCCTCGGCTGGCTACTACTTGATGTCGCAGAGTTTGGAGCTGAATCAGCGTCACCACGTCATGCACCTGCTGCCGGAGGTTGAGTGCGGTCCGAAGGCGTGGACGGTGTTGAAGGAGCTGCACGCCCCTACCTCCGTCGCTGCGACGCTCATGATGGAGAGGGAGCTGTCCGCGTTGCGCCTGAGCGAGGGAGAGCCGGTGCAACCCATCCTGGACAAGATGCGGGATCTCTACGCGAAGTTGGCGATCGCGGGAATCACCTACCCGGAGTAGACCAAGTGCCTGAAGATGCTCTCGCTGCTGCCAGAATCGTGGCTTCAATTCACGAGCGGATTGAGCCTGCCGCAGAACCAGAGCTTGTGGACGCTCGAGTGGGTGCGGACGAAGATTCTGGAGGAGGACTTCCGTCGCCGCCAACTGAGGGGTGGAGACGACGGCAGCAGCGGGTACGGGATGCAAGGGAGCCGACGTGGCAGAGGACGTGGCTTCGGTGGTGCTGGGCGCGGTGCAAAGAAGGACGACGACTCCAACGACCAACAAGGAGGTACCGGTTGGGGTCGTGGTGCGAAATCTGGACGTGGGGGCAAGTCGGGTGCTGGTGGCAAAATGAAAGGGAGTTGCTGGTACTGTGAGAAGGAAGGGCATCCCTGGTTCTTGTGCTATAAGAAACCCGATGGATGGACCCCCCAGAATCGTCACCAGGATGGCGGCGCGCGGAGGAACCAGAAGAACGACGCGAACATGGTCGCTGATTCGTCCGACAACAACCCGAAGGGCAACGGCGGTGCGGAGAAGAAGGAGCGCACCGCGGGCCAATTCTTCCATGTGGGAGACAAGGGGGAGCAAGGAGACGCCTCTGCCAAAGTTGGAGCAGAGCTGCACCCCCTGGACTTTTGGGTGTTGGACACAGGCGCTGCTTGGACGATGACGCCGCGCAAGGACCTGCTGGACGATGTACGCGCTGCACCGATCAATGAGGTGTGCTCCGCCTCTGGACACATGTTGAAGGTGGCTGGTGCGGG